AGGAGACAGAGAGGGCAGAGGGCATCAGTGGCAGGTGCAGCTGCTGGAGCGAGATGCTGCACTGAGACACCGCAGTACGCTGACGGCCAACAGAGGAGGCATTGTGGCTCTTTAGGTGATGGATGCACTGGGATCGGATAAAGCTCTGCTGAATAATCTGCGCGTCGTCGGCGCTCATTAGCCTCCATGTGAAGGTCAGACACTTGAGTGATAATAGAAAGCATCAGAGGGAACCGTGATTCAAATTAGCTGGATTAAGTTTACAGTCAAAAAATTAAGTAAATAAATAAATAAATGCAGTAATAGTGATGCTGGGTTCTTAAAAGGACATTTAAAGCCAAAAAAATAGCTAGATTATAGAAAATACAGAGGCAGAGTGATATTATTTCTGGTTTGTCTCTGAGGTGAGAAATGTTATGAGTTTGTTTTTATTCACTTTAAATGTAAAGAAAATTTCCCTGGAGAGTGTCGTTTCACTTGAGCTTCCTTCAAGTATTTTATATTGCTTTAAGTAGAAATATTTATTAGACGGTTAGTCTAATAAATGAATCAGTTTTGGATTTGGAAGATGACATTTCTTGATTGGTCTTAAAACATTTGCCCAGTCAACAGGGCATTCCCAGCAGAATAAGGGCATGACATCATCTTCCTTAATATACATGAAAAATCTTCTACATTAATAAGGATACAATTTTACAACTACTTGCATTGAACATGTTTTCAGGATGCAGAGGATCGTCCTCATCATAATCTTTGCTGAGTAGGAGAATCGTGACCAACAAGCATCTTTCAGTGTTTCTTTCATAAAGGCATCTGGTTTATTTTCAATGTTAAGAAAAACAAACCAACAAACAAACAAAAAAGTGATCTGATAATTTAGGTCACAAAATGTTCCTGAACTTTGAAAACTCAGTCTAGGTCACACGTGAACCTTTCCAATGGCAACCGCAGCCAAGATGTGCTAGTCTTTAGTCTGAGGGTGAAGAAGCTCATCTTCCCAGCAGCATTGACTTTCGCATTAGCGCTCTGGCTAAGCTAATTAGAATAACACTTGACTGAACAAACATTTTCACATAGCCGAGAAATGTTGAGAAAGGATTTGTTTCCAGTGAAACGTAGCTACTATCAGATCTAAAACCGGCCTAATATTGAAAACAAACGTTATTTTTGTAGCGCACCTTCAGTTAATAACTTTGGCTGTGTAATTAAACTGGCTGTTTAAGGAAAACCTTCTCCTCAATGTGAAACCTGCTGTGCACATCCATCATGGAGCCAAACAGTAAAACAAATAGGTTTGATTGGAGCAGAACACATTCAAACCTAAAACCTTTTCACGTGATCTGTGCCTCTTCTTTCCACGTTTCGTTTTTACACAGTTTCAAAATGACAAGAGCATAAACCCGAACTGCCGGCATGCAGGGCCCGGCAGCGGCAGACTCCAGGGACCGTGTGAGGAAAAATCTGCCTTTTTGGCTGAGGAGGGATTGGGAATGGAGAGTTGAACAACAGAGTAAATATTTGGCAGTGGAGGGCTCTTGGACGCGGCAGAGTGCCCACTCCGGCTGAAGCCTGTGGGTGTTAAATAGATTAAGGGGCTGCTGGGTCATTGTGGAAAGAGAAATTCCCACTCTTTGGACATGACTTCTTCTTTGCTTTTTGCGTGTTTTTGCTCTCCAATCGAGTGGCCTCTCTGTAAGCAATCCACTTCAGCAGACCATGAGGCAGCTACTGTATTTGCCAACCATAAGGTACACTGAAAACAATAGCAATGCTCTCTCAAATTCTGTGTATCTTATCTGGTTAGATCTGCACAAGTCATTTGTAATTAGAATTTAAAGAATTATTGTCCAGCTATAACTATTACAATTATTATTCTTTTTTTTTCATATGGATTGTCCTACTTTCAAAGGGAACAAAAATAGTCATTATTTGGGATTAAGGCATAAAATATATCCGGAAAAGTAATAAACTTTGTAAATCTGTTGCCACAAAGTGGAACACAAACAGTTTCCCTGACAACCACAGCAACAATTTGTGTTAGTTTGCAAGACCAGGGTTTGAGGTTCACCGCTTTGTTTAGCAGCACAAACAGTCCAGCTTAACTTCAGCATCATCACTGTCGCTTAACGAGTTAAATCTGGATACACACATGCTTCCTGTCCCAAACTCTTTCAACTTGGACAGATAATAGGTATCATAGTTAATGCTTAATAGTGTCCACATTTATTTTATTTTTAGTGTAAGCATCCACGACAGAATTAGTCTGACATTTCCTTGATTTTGTTGTTTTTTTTTAAAAATCACTTTTTGTTTATTTGATTCATATTGTAATGTATGCAGAAAAGGCAGAGATGAAGACTACAAGTAAAAAAAAGAAAAAAGAAAAGAAAAAAGAGAAAGAGAGAGAGAGAAAGAGACAAAAAAGAAAGAGCTTTGATATCTAAAGGGAATTTAATGCGGCCTAAATCACACATGTAATATTGCTCCGGTCCGTGGACATGGGCGGCAGGGGACGCGGGAGCAGTAGATAGTGTCCCAGATCCCATTGAGCCCCATTGAAAACCATGACAACACAGAACAAGCTCAGATTTATCCCGTGAAGTTAAAGCACATTGTGTCGGGGCGTCAATCAGCCATTATAGCCGCACTGAACAAATGCAAAATCTTGACTGGAACAAATGCTTCCAACGGGTCTCGGACGCGGGGCTACATTTTCCTCCTTTGTTCCCCTCCTCTGGTTGGCATGTATTGGTCTTGCCCCCGACCCTCCATTCCCCCCCGCCTGCCCCCTCGCCCCCCTTATTTCTCGGCCGACCACCCAGGACGCCCCGGGGAGGCAGGTCCACCACCACCACCACTCTCCTCCTCGGCCCTCACGGCTGCACCTTGCCGGAGAGGACGAGGCTCCAAATGAGAATTACGCATCACATCAGGCTGGATGATTTGGAAAAAGAAAAAAGAAAACATAGTGAAGTTATATCTTATAGATATCTGGTCCATTTGAAATAAAATGTTCTTTTTATTTTTCAGTGAATTTAATTGAAAAACAATTAATCGGGAATGTGCACATATTTTTTTTTCTGCGCTATATGCGCCGGCAGAGTGATTCATTGTTCACGATTTGTTTTGCCTACTAATTAAATCTGGCTTGCAGCGATCAATCACTGCAAGGAGAGGGAGGCGAAAAAAGATTCAAATGGACTGACCGGAACGATACGTCGCCAAATACGACGACAACGTCGTATTTGGGCCGACGTTGCTGCGTCGACTCCTTTTTAAACGCCGCTCAAAAGTGAAAGATGTAAAGTAGGTCTAAAATCTGCTATCGTCTGATAGTGTTTTAAACCACGGGTTAGAAAAATAAATAAATAAATAAACCAGCCTCTTTTATAACTCTTTTTTTAAATTATTGAGGTCAGATAAAACTCAATGAAGTCCGGCTCAGTGGAGCCACAGAATGACGCTCATTTCTTTTCAGTTAAAAGTTTTACGGGCTACAAAAAATGTCACTTGGAGTCATTAAGTCTAATAAAACTGAATAAACTTTGATTAAGCCTGTTACGTTCTAAATATAATGCCAATGATTCAGATTGTAAAACGATTTGCTTCAGTTTAGCAAAAAAAAAAAAAAAAAAGAAAAAACAAAGTTTAACATTCAGATTAGGATTCGACTAACAATATCGATTAAGCCAGCGATTAGCTCGCCATTCTCACTTTCTCTAGAGTCCAGCAGGACTGAAGTGTACATCATGTGTCGTATTATCAGTGATATCCCATCTTAATCGAAGTAGAAATTAGTTAATTGGAAATCAATTCTTTTTTTTAATTATTGTTATTGTTTATTGGCATGGGGGATAAAGAAGAATGAGATGTTGGTCCTGATTCTGCAGCAGCTAAAGCATCCAGTCACTGTGTAGTTTGTGAATGGATTGATATTATTGACCAGTCTGGGATTTACGGTCTTAAATTAATATTTTTAAAATACTATTCTGGACTGGGGGGAAAATAGAAAAAGTAGTGCTGCTTAAAATCGATTTGTTTCGACCGGCTTAATAAAATAGAAACTGAGGAAATAAATGGATTTATTGAAGAGATTTAAGTAAAATGACCTTAAAAACAAATTCGGTTTTAAGCATTTTTTCTTCTTCTTCTTCTTTAGTAGCTGTTGCATAAATTCGAAAAGTTTTAATAAAAATAAAAAAGTTTTTCACAATTTTTTTTCTTCTATATGTGACGCACTTAAAAACACGTCCTGTGCCCGGAGGCCAGGCAGAGCGCGCGGGTTTTGCGGATTATTTCAGACTATTTCACGGCCTCCGACGTGTAGGCCCCTTCAGCGCAGCAACCATTGCGAGAAGCGTTTAACCCTCGCCTCTTCGTGACCAGAAGAAGCCCACATGTCATCCATCGCATCCCGTCGGAATGTTCGGGAATCCTCCGCCGCCCATAAAGCGCCATAAACTTCTCACGCCTGTAAGCGATCCGCACATTAGTGGCGCATTAGTTAAACCAACTCCGCGGGCGTCGCGCTAATTGCTCACTTTGTATGCAAATATTGGACACGTTGTTTGGACAAGAGCAGGCTGGAGGAGGGGGGTAGGGGGGCGAGGGGTACTGAGGGGTGGAGGGGCTGATGATGGGACAGGCTCCGTTGTCAGTTGCCACCCAAGACGTGATTCAGCTCCAACAATCACCATTATCTGTTCCTCAGTTGGACGATACGGGACGAATCTGTAATGATGACGAGTGTTTCCTTGGCTTTTTGTTGAGTTTTTCTTTTCTCTCTCTCTCTCTCTCTCTCTCTCTCTCTCTCTCTCTCTCTCTCTCTCTCTCTCTCTCTCTGTCTCTCTCCATCTCTTTCTCCTCCACACCCAGCCGTTATTGGTGACAGCACTCCATCCGTGCGGGCAGTGAGCGGAGGAGGGAGGCTTTATAAACGAGCGGCGCATGGAGAGTTGCGGTTTGTGTAAACAGCAAAGTGGAGAGGTTTTACTCTGAGGACTCGGTTCCTTTTAATGCAATAAATAAATAAATAGATAGAAAAGTAAGGAAGGAACGAAACGGACCTCGGATTGTCACTGAGTGTACGCGATGACTGGTGCGCCGAGCAGGTTCAGCTTTTCCGTCAGGAGCATCCTGGACCTGCCTGAGCGGGACGCGGAGTCTGCGCCGCGGTCCTCCTCGGTTTACTCCTCCTGCTCCTCCAGCTCGCCCTACACCTCCTGGGTGGAGTGCGATCGGAGCCCCTGCATGTGTGAGTTGTTGGCTTTTCACTGGCAAAACGCATGTCTTCAAAGAGCTCTAACAGAAAGGACTGCTTATGGCAAATATTATTTCTTCTTGTTTTTTTCCCCCTCCAGCTTCTGATGAAGGCGGTTTCGAACCGTCGCCCGACTCGACCAAGCCGGATGACTCGTCCTTGGACTTGGAGCCGGTGGAGAGGATCAAGAAGAGCAAGAAGCGCCGCGTCCTGTTCTCCAAAGCCCAGACCCTGGAGCTGGAGAGGCGCTTCCGCCGGCAGCGCTACCTGTCCGGGCCGGAGAGGGAACAGCTGGCCCGGATCCTCAGCCTCACCCCGACCCAGGTGAAGATCTGGTTCCAGAACCACCGCTACAAGATGAAGAGAGGCCGGGCGGAAGGCGCGCTGCCGCCGGACGCGGACATTCCGCAGCCTCCGCTGCTGCGCAGGGTGGTGGTTCCGATCCTGGTCCGGGACGGGAAACCTTTCCACACCTGCTTCATCGAGGCGGACAAAGCCAGTTGCCTGACCGCTCCCGCGCCTCCTCATCCTCAGGCTGTCCCGTTCCCTCTAGCCTTCCCCCCTCTCCAGCATCCCTCCCCCACATCGCTCCCTTCCCGGTACCAGCAGCACTTTCCAGCGGCCTCCAGATTCGCCTGGAGGGACTTTTGGAGCGACTCGGTTCCCTTCGCGCCTCTCAAATGAGGATCCTGACGGGAATGCACGAACTCATTTAGAATGGCATCAAATGTTGTCTAAATGGTTTTACTCACTTCTGAGCTACTCGAACGTTTAGATTCACACTTTAGAGCGGAGAATATTTTGCACAATTTTTATTTTATGTGTTTATTTTTGTACAGCTGATTCTTGGTGCAGCGTGTAGGACATTTTTATTTTGTTTGTTTTGTTTTGTTTTTTAAAGTGATCATTCATTTGTGTATATTTGACTTTTCTGTTTTTGAAATCTTGAATATTTGTATCAATAACTTTTGTTTTCATTCCAGTAGATAGGGATGTAAGAAAATCAACCTTTAGTCTCAATTAAAAAAAAGAAACAAAAAAAGCAAGAAAATGTGTATTATTATTATTACTTTTTTTTTCTTCCAGAACTTCTGTAAAGTTTAAGCTGTTTATGTAAAACAATTATAAATAAAATCACTTATTTTGGATTAATACTTTTTAGAGTAATGTGTTTATTTCACATGTGAACTCTGGCTGCACATTGGTTTGGTAAATTTTGTGTCATTTTAAAACATTTAATATTTACTGACTGGGTGCATGCAGGGCAAATAGATGTTATAATATATATACAAATATGTGTAACTGTAACATACAAAATATATTATGGGTACCTTTGTTTAACCGTAAACAAATAAGCCCTATTTATGCATAACGTATTGAAGTTTCTTCATAAATATGAAGGAAGTTTTGGAAGACAGTTTGCCTCATTCTGTTTGCATTTTTTATTCTGTCCAGAGTTGCTTCATATCCTAAAGGGAAGAGAATGCCTGTCTAAAAAAATAATCAATCTGTGCTTGTTTAATATACAGTGTATATGTAGATGTGTATATCATCCAAACAGGATGATAAATTAAGAGTGATCTAAGAAGCTTTCATGATGTAAAAAAAAAAAAAGAAAAAGAAAAGGAAAAAACCTGATTATGCGGCCAAAAAGCTGAGCAAACATCTCGTCTAAAAGAGCTGGATCTGGTTAAGCATGAGAAAACCAGGCCTCTTTCATCGCATCGCCGCGTCTGTGACCAGGAGCTGCTTCTGCTCGCTCGGTTAAAGTCCTTTATTCTGATGGAAGTGTACTAATAAAGTGCATCAGCGTTATTCTGGAAATGTTAGTGTGTTTGGAGCAAACGTGGCTTTCGAAGATGATGGAGTTTATCAGACTATTTACTCCACATGTCTGTGTCACTTTTTCTTTCTTTCTTTTTTAGAAGATGTGTTTGTTTAGGTGTAATGATTATTGTTTTTGTTTCCTTTTATGATTATTTCTGTCCCGGCATGATGGCTCTGGATGCCCTACAGCGTTGAGTCGCATTTGTTTGGCAAAACCTTGAAAGTCCAACATTGTGACTCTCATCTGGACAACTGTTGCATGAGGTCATCTGATACTTTCGGACGACTCTGATTTCAGGCCTAAAATAATAAAATAGCTCAAATAATAATAATAACGATGATGATAAAAAGCCTCTGTGTTTAAAATCATGTTAGTGGCTGGGGTGGGGAGGGGCGTTCGCTTCCACGCCCCCTATAATGTTGTTTGCTCGTCCTGTGACCCCGCAGCTCATCGTCCCTGTCACCTGGCCCTTTGTCCCCATCGCTGGGGCCACCTTGCCTCACATATGGAGGGGACTGGCCGAACCCCTCAGCTCGCAGCATCTCCCCTAAAACGCTCCCTTTGTGCGGGTGTCTTCCCCTGAATGCACCATTGTACCTCCACCAAAGGGGACCGAGACAAAATCTTTAGTGTTTCAATTCTCGTGATGTTTAATCAGTCCCTGCGACAAATTTATGAGCTTTAACCACACAATGGTGTTTTAGAGCATCTCTGGGGTTTAAGGGTGACAAAGACAGGCTTTTAGAGGTTGCCATTGGTTTTTTTTAAGTTAGTCGGAAGAATTGTCTGAATGGGACGGGCTCGTATTGCTCTGCCCGTCCTATAGTTTTACTCGCCGGCCCGCAGTGGGGGCCCCGAGGAGAGTCAGGACGTAAACTGGGCCGCTGAGAACACTGGGTGAAGTCGTGCCACATGATTTGTTTAGAGAAAAAAGAAGGGTTAGAGGAAAAAAAATTATATATTTATGGGTTAGATTTTCAGGTGGAAAACAGCTGAGTCATTTTTTGTTTGTTTATTTAGGAGCTTAATTCTGCTGTATCTCTTCATTATGATATTTTGTGTTTGCCAATTTGGTGTTGGTGTTATTACCTTTGCTTAGATTTTAGTTTCCAGTTGGAAACAACACTACAGGGTAAGATCGGTGCAAACCCAGTGAAACTGACCTTCAAATTCAAATGTCTCCATCTGCAGCTTCCCTTCACAGTTACACCTGAAAGCTGTTTAAGGCAGGAAATGAATGTTTGACGTGAATTGCTTCACATGTTACTTTCTGCTATAGATTCAGGCGAGTGTACCATGACTTATGATAATCCCAAACACACATCTGACTTAAAGGAACGGCACGTTCTCTTGTCTTTCCCTCTTTGAACAGTAGCAAAGAGAAGTTGGCTTCTGGGTTTGTCGTGGTGGTTCATAGTTCATAGTTGTGTGTTTCATTGTTATAATTGTCATTAGCCAGTGTGGCTTTAAGTATATTGTACAGCACTTTGGTGCAGTTAATAGCTGTTTTCAAAGTGCTTGTCTGTTTCCTGCTTCCAATAATTTCCCTACTGTATTCCTACTGTGGCATTTCTCATTTCCGTCAGTTTGCATGTTTGTGTCCAGCTGTGTCACATTCTGTTAATAATACTCACCTGATCCAGTTGCCAGTAATCACTCTCCTCAGATGCTCCACTTCCAGAATGTTTCCATACGCATCCCTGGCTGAGTTTGTTCTGTTTCTTCAAATAAATAATAATAATAATGATAATCAAATAGAATCATCCTCAAAGTGGCATCATCATCCCCAGGTCATTATTTGGTGTCTGCAACAACTTCACAATTAAAAACTAATTAAAGGTAAACAAACTGATGTTTTTTGTTTTTTTTCCCAGTCTCAATATTCAAGCATTATATTTTGAGTTTTAAAAGGAAAAACACCTGCATTTGTCACAGAAAAACAAATTATTACACGTCCACAAGTCATCCTCAACGTGAAGGAGGGTTTGGCTGCATCTATAAACTAATGAACAGAGCTTTCGTCTTCACTGGCCTAAACCGCATCGATGCCTCACGATGAGCTGCAGACACTTTCTCTCTGTCCTGTTCCTGCAGTTTATCAGTCACAAGATAAATATTCTCTGTGTTTTGATAAAAAAAATCTTATTCCATCATGACATCTGCCCTTTTCATATAAAAATATGGATTTTAAGTCAAATCTTGTGTATTGGTGCTTCTAAATAACTGCTCTGTGTTATATTGGATAACTGTAAAGAGGCTGAACATGAAATCTGTCATTACTTGACAGCGTGTGCTTCCTGCTTCCCAACATCACCCACTTTTCTGATTCCACTCTTTTGTACATGTATTGAATTTAAACAACGATTGTGTGAGTTAATGTTCCGCCTCCCTCTCCACGTAAAATAAAATAAAATACGTGGAACATGTCAAAATCTTTCAAACCTTCAAACTGTGCACTTTCCCCACATCTTGCTTTTTTGCATGTTGCGTATTTCAGAAGATGAAGACAGACTGTGTCTCAGTGGGAAGAGTAAAAGTTTTTGGACTGATTCCAGGATGTAACAATGTGATGCCACTGAAAGAGCCTTTGTCTTTTTTAACAAAATGGTTTACATATTGCACTCAAACATACTGTTTGAATGTATTACAGCAGTAAGTTAGGTTTAGAAATGTTTCTTAATATTGTGCGGTATGAATATTATCACAGCAGAAATCATTATCATTCATCAACACAAAAATCCAATGAGTGTTCGTACGCTCATGATTGTGCGAGTTAAGTTTTAAACATGCATACGATAGGTGACTTTATTTGTAGAGTTTTGACTCTAATATTGGATGATGTACAGGTAGAGCAAATCTGTTTTGTTTAGAAAAAACAACTATAACTTAGTAGAAACTGAAGTTATGAGAACAGAAGCAATACCAAAAAGCATCCATGCCGTGCTGTTAATATTTGATCTACTTACTCATCTTCGAAGTCTCATGTTTTATGAGTTTGTTTTGTTTTGTTGTTTTGTTTATGCAGAATTTCAATGTTTACAATGTTCAGCATATCGTTATAAATGGTCCTGACTGGTCTTAAGCTCGTCAACATTGATTTAACTCGTGTCTGAAAATCGGCTTCACTCATAGCTGAGGTGACTTTTGAACTTTTGTTTCCAAGTTCTATTTAATCTATTTCACATTGTATTTTTTGAGATATAAAATAATATAAAATGATGATAAAAAATTCAACCAGTACGACTTTCTTTCATTCTGGTGTGACTGAAAACTCTGGTTCAGAAATCTGTTACTTGTGTTGAGCAGGTTTATGAATATGTATATGCGGGCTGGATTATGGATGATGTTGTTCATTTGGTGAAAGTCAGAACTTTCATGAAACTGATGGTCAAGAACTTTTCAAACGTGACTTCATTGTTGACTGCTTGCTCAGTCACCAAACTCTCCACCAGATGGCGGTATAACACTCACCATAAAACTCTGCAAAACACCTGGAAATCTGCGGCAGTTCAACATGGTGGAGAGACTTCCTGATCCACAAGGTGGCGCGTTTCACCCAAAAAAAACAAACAAAAAAAAACTTGCTCTGAAAAGTGTCCCTGCTGCAGAATCAGGCCCTCCAAACGATGACATAATCGTGACTCCGTGACGCATGAATGTTTGCTCGAAGGCTCTGTGGCAGGATGGTGAAAATGCTAACATCCAATTTTTGAAAAGGATTTCTTTATTATTTTTTAGGCCACTCAAATCCAACCAGAGAGGTTCAGTTCAATATAAAAACTTCATATTTTGTTTCTTAAAACCACCCTTTGTCTTTGCATAAAGTGGAACAAATACTGACTGTTGAAAATAAAGACAACATTTCAATAGAGATGATAGAGATCATTTTACAGTTTGGGCCATAAAACTCTCCTTTTGATTAAATATCAACTAAAAGCCATTCACCTGTCACCTGTTCAATATTTGCATTAGAAACAGAACAGCTACATTGTACAGTGTTAGACATATAAATCTTGACCCTGCAACAATTTAAAAAGAACGCACTGATCTTAAATAATAATAATAATAATAATAATAATAATAATAATAATAATAATAATAATAATAATAATAATAATAATAATAATAATAATAAAGGAACACCTCTTGCTCATTTCAGCTCCTGACGTTCAGTTCCTCTCTCCTTATATCATGCACCAATCAGCTGA